GAGGTTTTTTACTCACGAAAGCTTATGCCCAAATAAATCTGTTAGTCTTTAAGGTGCCACCAGACTCCTTGTTGTTTTTGTAGATACAGACTAACACGGCTACCCCCTGATACTTGACACTTAGTATTTTTCAATTCACCTAATACGTTTCTTTTGTTTTTTACTGTGCAAATATTTGTAATCAAAAATAAAGTGAGCACTGTACACTTTGTATTCTGTGTTGTAATTGAAATCAATATATTTGAAAATGTAGAAAACATCCAAAAATATTTAAATAAATGATCTTCTATTGCGTCTGACAAAGTGGGTATTCACTCACGAAAGCTTATGCTCCAATATATCTGTTAGTCTATAAGGTGCCACAGGACTCTGTTGCTTATTGTTAACAGTGCGATTAATCACGATTAATTTTGTTAATCGCTTGACAGCCCTAGTATTTGTTGTCTGACACAAAGCAAAGGGGAAGCAGTTTGTGTGGGCTGAATACCAGAGCTGAGGCGCAACAGTTCTAACTGCAGCCTCCAATTCAGGGAGAGACTATGCTACTGTTCTCAGCCACAGGACATCTCCCCACTTCCTCAGCAAGGTAACAGTGTTTTGTAATGTAACGATTTGCTGAAGAAAAAGAGAAACTGTAGTGTTGAAAAAAAAGAGACCTGCATATCCTTCTCCACAGGGGATCAGTTATTTGTGCTGTTGCATAACAGAACAAACTCATTTGTGTAGGTTTTGCAAGTGTGGTAGGTAAGGAATTAACAGAAGATATTCAAAAGTCAGGGATTTTAACATCACTCTCTATCAAAAGTTCCTAGCAAAGGAGTTAAAATGATTAAGCTGCTGGTCCAAAGCGGGATGAAGTGTGTTGTTTCATAATCAATTCTGTTCTACAAACTGAACCCTTAATCTCCACCAAGCAGATGGACTAACAGGATTTATCCATGTCTAAACACTTCTGATTCTCATATCTGGTTGAACCATTAGACACAAAGGAGTTTCCGGTGAGGGTTGAGTCAGCCAGTGTGATCAGATAGGTCCTTAACATAGGAAGCATTTCCGTACTATGGGTTTAGAATTTGGCTATTTATCTTGGAAAACAAGCTAAGGGGCGGGGAGTCAATTAATCAAGTGGTGGATAATTTTAGAACAAACGAAAGGAATTATAGATCACAAAGTATGTGGTGGGCCATGGAAATTACTGCCCACAGGAAGGCAGGGTCAAATAGTATAGCTGGATTATATTGCAAGCAATAACATTTGAAGTGATCCATGGTGAGAAAAGGGTAATAAAAATCTAAAAAAATCAGGGTGCAAGGTAATCATCACAGGGATCAGGAGGGAATCTCTCCTTCCCATGTACCATACTGTACAGTTGTGGAACTGTGTAACGGGGTGGGGTTAGTGGCGTTGCCCGCCAGCAGACTAGGGTGCAGAACTTTATGGACTTAAACTTTCACCCAATACAGCAGATATGTTCTTATTCTCAGACAATGTTAGACATCTCCACAGCAAAGATTACCCTCCGTCAGTTCACATTCAGTGCTGTTGGTGCTTCCTTGATCCAGTTAGGTCCATTTCACAATCTAAATAGGGTCCTGCTGCTCTGATAGCCTGACCTAATTTAAACATTGCTCACAAGACAGAAAATGCCAAGAAGTGAAACTTTCCAAAAAGCAATGTTACCTGGATGCCATAAGAGAGGCGCATGTGAGTTCGCAGCGCCGTCATGCCTCCAAAAGTGATGCCAAGGCAGCAGTTCTCGCCATACTTGTTTGCCACGTAACATGACAGAAGTGTTGGGCAGATAGTCCCCAAACAGCCTTCAAAACAAGAGTATACACAAACAGCGTACAGGACGTCAGTCATTCATCATTCAGTTTTGCCAACGGGGTAGTGAACCATTAGGAAAGGAACTATATTCCTCCTCCCTCCCTGCACATCTACCCCTTCCCCTGTTGTTCAACTTCCTTAACACGTAATCAGGTCTCAGCCCTCTCCAGTTTCCTATGTTTAATATCTTCCCAGAAATGCTCTCCCAGTGCTTGATGCACTTCAAAGAGTCTCAGCAGTTGGCAGACCTATTCCCTGACGCTGAGCGATCATCTGGCTTGCCTTAAAAATGCATCACAACTGCAGCAAGTACCGTACTTACATGTGGCACAGTCTGCACAACATGCGTATCTCCCGGTGCTCCAGTCACCCGTTGGGGACATGACGGCAGACCCCACGGAGCCAGGTTGCTGGATGATCACTGTCTGGGACATGGTCTAGTGCTCAATGCACCCTCTGCAAACAAAGCCCAAAGTGCAGCTACAGGTCATATTTGCTCCTTAAAGAACCAGTAAGCTTAAACTTAGAAAAGAGCAACATTAGCCCTCTACTTCTCATGTGAAGTAAGTCAGTGTAATCTCCATTTTACAAATGGGGAAATGGAGACAAAGGGTGCATGACCTTATCCAATCTGTGTTGTCTGAAGTCAGCACACAAGATTCATCACAAGTAGAGTTAAGATAGTGTCATAGTTATTTTTAGTAAAAGTCACAGGCAGGTCGCAGGCACTAAACAAAAGTTCACGGAAGCCCGCAACCTGTCTTGACTTTTACTAAAAAGAATGGAGAGGGTTTGACTGGGGGTGGAGGGTGGAGAGATGACTGAAGTCCCAGGGGGGGAGGGGGAAAGGGGGGGGTGGAGATCCCAAGCCCTGCTGTGCAGTGAGGGAAGTCCAGGACCCACTGCTGCTGTGGTGGTTCAGTGCTTCGGGGCGCCCCCACGGTGGATCAGGGCTCTGGGGCTGGTGTCTGGGCACCTCCCCCCCCCGCCAGCTGCAGCCCCTAAACCTCAGGGCTGAAGTGGACAATGTCATGGAAGACTCAGAAAGTCACGGAATCCATGACTTCTGTGACATAATGTTATCCTTAATCATGAGTTCACAGCTGCAGTCAGTTATCTACAGGTGCTAATTTACTACACATCACTTACGACATAGAATTGTGTGTTAGAAATGCAATTCAGTATTTGAAGATACAGAAAAGTCCAAGTCTCTCTCTTATTTTTTTTATATATATATATATAAAAAATACATACACACACACACAGAGAGTGACAGACTGTTTCCCCAATTACTAAAAAAATCCCTCTATATTAAAATATAGAACAGAGGTTCTCAAACTGGGGGTCGGGACCCCTCAGGGGGTCATGAGGTTATTACATGGAGGGGTCGCAAGCTGTCAGCCTGAACCCCAAACCCCACTTTGCCTCCAGTATTTAATGGTGTTAAATATATTAAAAAGTGTTTTTAATTTATGGGGGGGGGGTGTCGCACTCAGAGGCTTGCTGTGTGAAAGGAGTCACCAATACAAAAGTTTGAGAACCACGGATATCAGACTATGAAAAATTTTCAGCTAGCTCTCTGGCATATCAATCAGAACACTTTTCAATCAGACTGCTGACAGGGAAAATAGATATATTCACAATAAGTAAACACAGCATTCCCTCTGAAGGTCTAGAATGCTTCTCAAAGAGGAGCTTTAAAAAGTCTGGATGTATGACAAATTAATATGCACACATTGTACTTGGCTAATATGCACTAGAAATGGTTTCATAACTAAGAGTAATTTAACATGCAATTTATGTACATTTTGAAATGAAAAAAGATCTACTTACCTCAAAGCTTTGTCTTCCCACTTTCAAGAGAAGCGAAAGGGTAAATGTATTTAAAGTGTAACTTACAGGGGCTTGGTGTTAAATCACGAGTTGGCTAACTTCCTGAAGCTGCCCCTCCTCTCCTTTATGTGACATTTCTATGGATAATCATTGGTTGAATTCTGCTAAACTCTTGACATCAGCAATATTAGGTAGTGAGTTTTCCAGGTTAACTCTGCATTGTGTGATAAGAGGAACTAGACTGGGGTGGGCAAGCATTTTGGCCTGAGGGCCACATCTGGGTGGGGAAATTGTATGCAGGGCCATGAATGTAGGGCTGGAGTGCAGGAGGGGGTGCGGTGTGCAGGAAGGGGCTCAGGGCAAGGGGTAGGGGTGAAGGAGGGGATGCAGAGTGCGGGAGGGGGCTCAGGGCAGGGGGTTGCAGTGCAGGAGGGGTGTGGCAGGGGGTTCAAGGAGCTCAGGGCAGGGGGTTGGGGTGCAGGGTACAGGAGGGGTTTGGGGTGTGGGCTCCGGCCCAGTGCCACTTACCTCGAGCAGCTCTGGGGTGGCAGCGGGGCTAAGGCAGGCTCCCTGCCTGCCCTGGCCCTGCGCCGCTCCTGGAAGTGGCCAGCATGTCCGGCAGTGGCTCCTGGGGGTGGGGTGGGTCAGGTGGCTCTGCCATGTGTTGCCCTCGCCTGTGGGTACCATCCCCGAAGCGCCCATTGGCTGCAGTTCCCCGTTCCCGGCCAATGGGAGCTGTGGGGGGCTGGTGCCTGCTGGCAAGGGCAGCGCACGGAGCCTTCTGCCTCCCCCAGGGGCCGCAGGGACATGGTGCCGGCCGCTTCCGAGAGCGGCATGGGGACAGGGCAGGCAGGGAGTCTGCCTTAGCCCCACTGTGCCACGGGGCTGGCAATCCCGCGGGGCCAGACTGAAAGCCCTGAGGGGCCGGATCTGGCCTGCGGGCCGTAGTTTGCCCTCCCCTGAGCTAGACCCCTGTCTAAAGGGAAGGAGCTTCACATCGAAGAAACGATCACTTGCCAACCTACGATGGAGTGGGATCCCTAAAATTAAAGTTTTCTTAGCACAATCAGTGAGGACAAGGCTCAAGAACGCACACTTGACCGTAGCAGCTAAAGTGCCTCAAACTGCTCATTACACCCACTGGGTATTTCTGTTGAACAGTCAGATTTTTTGATCACTCACACCGGATACAGAGGACACACTACACACACCCTCCCCCACACCAAGAAATTGGAAATAGTAGCTTTAAAATCATTTATTGTATTTTGGAGGGACAAATTATTTTTCACATGCAGGCACAGCATGTGAGATCTGCTCAGGGTGCTGCTATACCGGGGTCCCTTCACCTTGCAGCGTCTGCTCCTTTGCGGCCTTTGCTTTTGCTTGCCATTCTCGTCTCTGCTTCAGCCTCTCGGGTGCTTTCAGTTTCTGTACCTCTTTGAAAACCTGCAGTTAGGGGGCAAGGGAAGAAAGAAGACTGTGTATCCCTGTTGAAAACAGTTCTAACATCAGGTCAGGGTCATGCAAGAACTTAGGGAAGATCCGTTAAATCCTAGAGCATCAAGGTTTAGAAGGGACACTACATGTCTCAATAAAAGCAACTGTACCTGACATGCTCGCACCTTCTGGGACTCCAAGTACAAGAATTCCAGTTGATATATTCATTTCCACACAGCTATTCTTTTGCTGGGCCAAAGTACTATATTCCTTTTCAGGGATTTTTAAAAATTTTTTAAATACAATTTTTTACTTCTGTGCTCAGTTACATGAGTGTAGATGACAAGTTAGACTCCAACCCACAGCTGAGGCCCACATCCGTTCCCAGGACCTAACAGAAGTTTGTACTTTCACTTCTACATATTCATTCTCCTAGTGAGACTCTGAAGAAATGGATTTGTCCCAAGTTTGCAACGGAAAGCAGAATCTCTCATTCACAACTCCCACCTTTTCATGCTCTCTGTGTGTGTCTATCTATCTCCTCAATATTTGTTCCATTCTAGGCATCCGAAGAAGTGGGCTGTAGCCCACGAAAGCTTATGCTCAAATAAATGTGTTAGTGTCTAAGGTGCCACAAGTATTCCTGTTCTTTTTGCGGATCCAGAAGAACACGGCTGCTACGCTGACACCCGTCATTCACAGCAATTCAGCAACAAACCTTGAAGCTTTCAGAGAGTTAAAAAGCAGGCTGCCTTGTAGCTCACTCAGTGACTCCAGCACAGAGGTGGGCAAACTACGGCCTGTGGGCCACATCTGGCCTGCGGGACCCTCCTGCCCGGCCCCGAGCTCCTGCCCCCCTCGGCTCACTGCGCCGCCGGCACAATGCTCCTGGGGCAGCGCAGCTGCAGAGCCCGGCCTGACCCGGTGCTCTGTGCTGCGTGGCTGGGTCCAGCCGGGCGGCGCGGCTGTAGCGCCACCAGCCACTGGTGCTCCAGGCAGCATGGTAAGGGGGCAGGGTGGATAGAGGGCAGGGGAGTTCGGGGGGAGTGGATAGGGGTTGGGGCGGTCAGAGGGATTGAATGCGGGCAGGGGTTCCGGGGGGCGGGCAGGGGACAGGGAGAAGTAGGGTTCCATTCGTCCGGATTCCCCCGGACATGTCCGGCTTTTTGAGCTAAAAATAGCGTCCGGGGGGAATTTGTAAATGTCCGGACTTCCCCCCCATGCAGAGCGCATGCGGCTAACAGGGCAGCCGGCCGGATGGTGCCACTTACATGGGGCTCCAACAGCCAGAGAGAGCCCCTCCTCCCCCCTGCAGCAGAGATCACTCCCTCCCTCCCTGCAGTCACAGATCGCCTCCGGCAGTCTGGAGCTCCTCCCCCACTGCTGCCCAGCCTGCCGGACAACGGCTCAGGCCTGAGCAAGCTCACAGAGACATTAGGCGAAGAAAGGCCAACAACAAGGGGGCCAGGGGGTTGGAGAAGGGGCAGGGAGGTTCTGGAGGGGGCAGTCAAGTGACGGGGGGGAGGTCGTCGGGAGTTCGTGGGGGGGCTTCCGGGGGGGGGGTGGATAAGGTTTTGGGCAGTCAGGAGCAGGGGTCCCAGGAGGGGGCAGTCAGGGGACAATGAGCGGGGGGAGTGTTTGGGAGTTCGGGGGGGGGTTGATGGGGCAGTGGG